TTGTCGGGAGTCTCGCCCTCTTAAGCTGCACCAAAAAATACAAACGTTTAGAGGCCTTGTTTATAACCCCACTAACATGCTCGTTCCTAGACAGGTCATCACTTATGGTGACCCTAAGGAGTTTTGCAGACTTTACGGTATCCACACCTCTCCCATTAACTTTAATTGGAGGAAACTCCTGCTTTTGTTTACTGAAAGTAATTCGAAGCTCTTTACATTTATCATTGTTCAGTTGTACTCTATCTTTAGAGGATCATTTCGTTACACGGTCAGCTATTTTTTGCGAAATACTTGCCTTTCCTTTGATGACAACTTCTGAGGTCGTAGTGTCATCAACATATTTCCACATTTCGCATTTATGCCACTACTTACTTCAAGATCATTAATAGGCACAAGAAATAACCACGGCCCTAGCTTTGTTCCTTGTGGGACGCCGGACGGAACTGACTCCCACTCGGAAAAACAAACCTTTGCAAGTTTAATTCGCTGAAAACGGCCCGATAAAATATCTATGATCCAATTAATTATCTGTTTGGGTATCTCCGAGACGGTCAGCTTCCTAACTAAAATGTCATGATCTATAAGATCAAAAGCCTTCCTATAATCGTATAGTGTGGCTATCACGGTGGTGCCGTTTCCGTCAGTCGCTTGTGCCCATCGGTGAATCATGTGAATCAGAGCTTGGTTTGTAGAGGAGTTCGGCACAACCCAATAGTGGCTTGGATCCAAAACTCTCAAGACGGCTGGTTTGACAACACATTCCTCTGCCACCTTAGAGAGGCATGCCGTCAGTGAGATTGGTCTCAAGTCTTTCTTGAGATCTTCTACGGGCCTCCTCTTGGGTAGGGGGGGTCACATCAGCAAGTTTCCATATATGTGGCAAGCACTGCTCTCTAAGTGACGCATTGATGATTTTGCTGAGCTTGGATAGCAATCGTAGAATCCGTAGCTCTGATATTTCATGTAGATCTGGCGTATCAATCTCAATGGGTACCTTGACCAGTGGTTGCGTCAGGCGATACTCCTCAAGAGATGTTCTGGAGGTTAGAAGTTATTTTGAGAACTGCGGTTTCGAAGGTAGGACTCGAATGATGAGTTTCAGTGTCGTCAGCGTAAAGAAAACATGAAGCCCTCTGATGTTGTTGACAATAGCCCTCTTTGGAAAAGAGTGATAGCCTGGGAACGAAGTCACGCCTCAAGCACTTATGGGATTAATTGGGGGGACGCGGGTAAAAACAAATATGGCGGAAATTAGCGCGGAATGTAATTGTGGCGATGACAGCAAGATTTCAACAAAAGTAGATGGTAATAAGAAAAATACCAGACGAATGTACCGTGAAACAGGTGCAGCGATGGCTCCTTTGCCGTGAGCTAAAACAACTGGAAATAAAATGAAGCTCGTTCAAAGATAGGGTAATTTGAAAACTCCTTATTAGTGCCCCTGTTCTTTTCGTTATGTTGTTGAAGAATATTGTCTGTACCTACTTTGGTATTTTTTTTCCGTTGTAGAGTAAAGGACTACATGGCTGGTGGCCTAAGCTCCAAGATTAAGGACCCTGATGGTGGAATCCATTTAGCGAAAGCTAAGGCTAGCGTGGGACTCATGGAGGAAATAAACGCTAAGGAACTCAAAGAAAAAAAAACAATTTTTTCCAAGTGGATAGCTGAATTTAACTGATTGATAACCTCGCTAAAAATTTTTCGACTCCAATAATATGAAAGATTGTTCCTTATGATTATTACTATGTCCTGGATAGTTGAATTCCTTCACTTTTAAATAAGCCATCCACAGTAAAGATTTCATTAAAGTAAACAATGGGTTTGGAATATCATTTCAGATTTTCTTAGAGATATTTTCTGAATTTGTGCCCATGACTAATAGCAATTGCTTCATGTTGAATCTGGGACAGAACAAAATAGTTTACGATACCCAAATGCTGGAGAAAGGTCTGTTACAATTGCTTATATTGTTACAAGCGACAATGTTTCGGTAGTAAGTTCAATAACGTGCAAAATTAGCAAATTATTATTATGTATGTCATCAACAGCCTCTCAAGTCTAATCTTGAAAGGCCAAATTTAACACGTGGATAAGCAAGTTCTACAAAAATGTGCTCATTGTAAAATGCCTCAAGTTTTGGGAGCACTGAGCTCTAGAATTCAGGATTAAAGTTCAATGTTGAAATGAAGACACCTTCAGTGTCTACAATTAATCTTTCGGGAAGATCATTAACTCCCTTTACCACCAGATCAACAACTTGACGAAAAGAGCAGGCCACTTATAAGAAATTTTCAAATTACTCTTAAGTTCTCCTACCTTTGAACAAGCTTCATTTTATTTCTAGTTGTTTTAGCTCCACGGCAATGGAGCTATCGCTGCAGCTGTTTCACGGTACATTCTTCTGGTATTTTTCGAGGTAAAATTGCTCCAGGTACATCTTCTTCTCTTAGATTAATGCTTTCTGATTTTCTACTTTCGATAACTTTGATCTTATTACCATCTACTTCTG